TCTTCAGGGAGACTGGCTGATATGGGCTTTAGTGATGACATCTTTAAGTACTAGGCACCCAAGTGAAGACCTGGGGCCAGGATGGGTGTGGGTGTGGGTGTGGGTATGGATAGGTGTGTGTGGGGTGGGTATAGAGAACCAAGACTTCAGGGGTTTTTTTTTTTTGTTTGTTCTATTTTTTTTTGTTTTCTGATGTTTTTAAAATATGTTTTTATTTATTTTAGAGAGGACGGGAGAGGGAGAGGGAGATAGAAACATCAATGAGAGAGAAATAGCGATCAGCTGCCTCCTGCACATTCCCTATTGGGGATCAAACCCGCAACCTGGGCATGTGCTCAAACTGTGACTTCTTGGTTCATAGGTTGATGCTCAAACATTGAGCCATGATGGTCAGGCCAAATACTTCATTTTAGTTGAATGAGGAGAATCCCTTTTATCTTTTGAAGGGTCTTGAACTAGCAAGAACCAAAAACCTCTTTAAATAATATTTGTCACTCTTTGTCCTATTTCCTATTTCATTTCAATGCTTTCCTAATATCTCCAGGTAGCCAAACAGTTTAAAGGGTTCTGGTTTGAGGTTCCCCTGTGTGATGGGCTTGGCCTGGGATTGAGCCTCACAGGTAAATGGTGTCATTTAAAGTACTTTTCAGGGAGGAACAGGGCAGAGGTCCATAGCCTCGACCAGTTGAAGATACCCCAAAGCCATTGGGCACTGAGCTTTGCTACAGACAGAGGAGGCAGCCTGCCTTGGGGCCCCTGAGTCCAGAACTTGACCAGGCACTCCTGACTTTCCATCACTTTTTTCACCTTCCAGACTGGCCTTTAGCCCTTCCCTAGGTGGCCTTTTAGTGGTGATACTCAGACCAGCTTCACTCATACCCTCCCTCACAAGCAGACTGGACAGTGGCTGGGGTGGGTAAGATGGGTGAAATCATCTTTGAAGCTGGAAGAGATGAGATGTCACAGAAGGCACATCAAGAAATCAGAGCCCAAAGTCACTGCCTTGCCCCTGCCTTGTAGCCCCACCCCTACTTCACTTCATCTCCCCTCTGTTATGTATTAGTAGGCATTCAATATATGTACATGGAATTGAATTATGACTTTCTCTTGAGGTAGGAACCTGCTAAGCCACAGATTTTGCTTAGATGTGCTGCCACACACACACAACACTGAGGAGAAAACCAGGCTGTGAGGAGCCTTCTAACCGAGGTTCATGGGAAAGGGATGGAGGAATCATAGAGATTGGGCCTGGAGAAGACATGGAGACTTGGGGTGACATATGTGTTTGCAGGGGGCAGGAACAGGGAACTACAGCCACCATTTTCAGGCCTAGGACACACCCACTCAGTGATGTCATAATCATGTTCTCTAAAGTTCTGATGACGGCAACCACAGGTTTGAGCTTCAGACCCAGTGCTTCAGCTTGATGGAGGGAGGAGCTTCTTCGGGAGCAGAGATGGAAATCGTTCCTTCGAATAAGCGCAAACCATTTGTCCTTCGAAGTATGTACCCATGGGTAGGGCTGTGGCAGTGGGTGGGGAAGAATGGGTCTTAAGGGGGGTTTCTGGACACCACTTACTATACGGTCTCTTCTGGCTGGGAGATACTCTTATTCTCTGGGTCGGCCTTCCCCGCTCTGCCTCTGGGAATGTTGTGTGTGTGCCTGGTGTAAGTGTGAACATATATGCTGCTGTGACCCTCGCCATCCACTCAGGGGCCCACCAAATAGTGCCTGGTGGGCTCTGAAGCTGAAAACTCTGATTCTTCCACTTTGGTGCCTGACAACTGGTAAGTGCAGCTTCCCAGCATGGCCAGGATGCTGGGCAGTGGCTGGGTCCCGCCTAAGACCCCCAATTCGCATCTCTGGCCTAGCTAGGGCACTGTGGCAGAGGGAAGGTACTGGTCAGATCATATGTGGAGACCCCACTCTCCTTTGGGAAGGGCAGAGACAAGGGTGGAGGGAAGAGACCTGGGCAGGTTAGACCTTGGGGACCTGGTTGTAGAAGAAGCTGGAGCTATCGGGCTGGAGAAAAGACCTCTTCTGCCAGGAAATCTGTGAAGGGTGAGGGGTTGGATTGTGTGTAGGGTGGTGACCCCAAGGTTCAGAGACTGCTCAAGATGGAACAGACAGCCCATAAGGTAGGTGGCAAGCTCTCTGTGAGTGAAGATATATGAGCAGAAGGTAGGTAACCATTCAGGTAGGTAACCATTAAGGCCTTTAGATATTCACATTCCCAAGGGTCTGTAAATTGGGTACATAATCGGCTCCGATCAAAGCAGCACTGATTTTGCCCTCTGGTCTCAGTTGGGTCCCTAATGATGGAAGCCTAGCAGTTCCAGCTTGCCCAGGAGGCTCAAAGGAGTTGGCAAGAACTGGGTGGGGATAGGGAAGCAGTTGCCTTGTGGGGTCAGCTCCCTCAAACACCTCAAACTCAGCCAGTTTCTGGAAACAGCATTTGGAAAACACACCTTATCATCTCATTTTGAAATATGGGAATTACAAACAGCTGTCTATCTAGGGGTTCAAAGTGTTTGGGAACAGGAACTTAGAAGTCATGATGTGCCTCTTCCAAATTTCAACCCATAAAATGTGTACCTTTTCCTCACCCATCCTTCATACAGTCTTTCTTTCAGGAACCTCAAAGAGGGAAAGGCCTTCCAATATTTTTCAATAGGGCTGACACTAGCATTTGTAGTGGGAGATTTCTTTCTTCTGTATGACACTCTGCCCAATGCAAGACATTTAACACTCCTGCAACAACTCCCAGTCATGGGGCATGTTCAAACATCCCTTAGAGGTGACACTGCCTCCCCCACCACACACACACTTTGAAAACCATTGCCGTGACTTGCTCAAGGCCATAAGCCAGTGGCAAGCTGAGGAGGCCAAGTCAAGTCAAATCCCATTTGTACATTCCAAGAACTTTTATTCTTCACCAGGGTGTCAGGAGAGCAGAAGGAATGTGGGCCTGAAGTGAGGCAGGGAAGAAGTGACTCCCTAAGCACAGAACTACTAGTACAATTTCTCACGATTTCTCTGCTTTTGCCAAACTCCCGTTTTCCGCCTCTAGCCCACCTAGCTCGCTCTTTCCGCAACTGCAGGCACAGACTTTCTGGCAATTAGTGCAAAGAGCCTAGTGGAGCAGGATCCATGGGAGAGGAGTCAGGTCCCTTTTATTTGGGGGCGGGGGGAGGGAGTGGGGGCAGCGGGATCCCAGTACTGAAACCCCGAGGTCTTGGCAGGGGAACAGCTGCCTTCCACTGTCATCAAGGAGAGAGCTGCGGGCAAGACCCCGGCCGCGGAACCACGACAGGACTGGGCAGAGGTGGAGGACCCTCGACCTTCGCCGTTCGCCCCCGGAGGTTTTCCGGGGCTGGGGGGGGGCGGGGGGAGGGAGTGGGGGCAGCGGGATCCCAGTACTGAAACCCCGAGGTCTTGGCAGGGGAACAGCTGCCTTCCACTGTCATCAAGGAGAGAGCTGCGGGCAAGACCCCGGCCGCGGAACCACGACAGGACTGGGCAGAGGTGGAGGACCCTCGACCTTCGCCGTTCGCCCCCGGAGGTTTTCCGGGGCTGGGGGGGGGGCGGGACGGCGGGAGCAGAGGGCAGAGCAGCCGGACTCGACCTTGCCATCCCACGCCAGAGGCCAAGGCTGAAGAGAATGGAGGGGCCACCTCTCCAAAGTCCTTTGAGGTCCCAGCTCATGTAGAGGAGGGGGTTCGGGGGGTGGCAAAGCTCTGTTTTGCCTCCCCAGCCTG